AGCTGTTCACTTTTACTCTTAGGTGAAGCTGTAGTAAAAATTAGATCGATAGCTCGCGTAATGTTTTGCGTAGGTGTGCGTAACAATTTTGGTCAAATTTGAGCGGTTTTTTAAATATAACTTTGCACACGTAGCCTATATTTACACTAAATGAGACTCCTAAATGTATGTTGAAAAGATCTATAAGTCTACCAAATTTGAAAAAAAATCCATAAAAGTTAAGCATGTTTTCCTATCAAATTGCCCCCAAGTGGCACAGCGGTATGTCTGCGGACTTAAAACGCTAGAATCCGGGTTTCGATACCCGTTGTGGGCAGAGCATAGACAGCCCATTGTGTAGCTTTGTGCTTAATTACAAACAAACCAATCAAATTAAGTTTTTGTACTTTTGGTGCGAAGAAAAAAAGGAAGAAAGACAATCAAAATTGGAAATATCATATCTCAGGTATTTCGGAATGGATTACCTTGAGATTTGGTATGTGTAATAAGGGTCCAGTAGAGCACATCCACTGAAAATATATGATAGTTTGGATTACCTCAGTCCAAGGTATAGAAGGTGGAAAATTGCTAAACTATCACTTCTATTAATAACATACAGTTATAATACGACACACTAATGTGTGTCTTGATTGTTTGTTGTGTCTAATGGTATGTATTTCTGATTGGTTATACATAATTATATGTATATTACATGTACTTATCTATAATACATGTGTGTGTCGCTGTGTGTGTCTATATATATACATTGCTTGTTTGCTTGTTTTGGAATTTCGCGCAAAGCTACACGAGGGCTACCTGCGCTAGCCGTCCTTAATTTAGCAGTGTAAGACTAGAGGGAAGGCAGCTAGTCATCACCACCCACCGCCAACTCTTGGGCTACTCTTTTACCAACGAATAGTGGGATTGACCGTCACATTATAACGCCCCCACGGCTGAACGGGCGAGCATGTTTGGTGGGATGCGGATTCGAACCTGCGACCCTCAGATTGTGAGTCGAGCGCCTTATCCACCTGGCCATGCCGGGCCATATATATATATATATATACATAACTCTTCTTGTATATCTAGTTTATCTTATTACATTGTTTAACTTTACTACGTTTTATTACATGTTTTTAGTTTAATATTTCTCTTTATTAGCTCAATATTTCACTATTACAGCTTCGTCAGGAATTAACGATAAACTACAAGTTAAATTGGATTAGCGAACATCTATGAAGTACAGAAAGATTATAACGGTATAATCAATGAGAGAATAAAACATCAGGAAAATGAATTTGTAAATGCAAGGATCCAACCAGCCACTTTTATCCACACCTGTACTAGAATTTCAACCATAAATGCCATTGAATATGAAATATGGAATAGGAGAACCCAGCTGGGCTAAATATATCACTATTACTACTGTACAACCTATGACTGCAGGACATTCCTGGACTACTCCGCTATATCTCTATGCCATTGAGTTCCAGAATTTAGTTGGCCAGTTCAGCAATATCGCCCAGTTGAGAAACTAACAGACTGTGATTAAAAAATACTGGTGGAGGCATATGAAACTCAGTTCAAAATAATTTCTAAAGTTAATAGATTGAGTAGTAAACAAAAAACCTTTCATTTTACTGTCCATTTGAAGGTACCGATCTTTAAAATTTCAAACAATCTTCCAGCTGAGGCCGTAACGACTATCAAGCATTGGTGGTTGCCTTAATGAACAGATTTCGAGTGACACGCCAGAAGGATGTTTCCAAAACAAGGTCTAGGGGAAGAGTAAGGATGAAAGATTAAACCTAAGCAGAAATGTTGGAATACGTGGAAATGTTTTTCCAGTTATCTTACTTGGATAATCCATGTAGAATAATGGTTTCTTTGACAATGCCCAATTCATTGTTTCAATAGTGAATGAGGACATGCAAATTAGATTAAAGCAATAGACGTACATCTTTAAAAGAAGCTGTACACGTGGCAATAGAACTTGAATCAATTAATGTCGCAAATAAACAACTAAATTCACTATCCAGTAATTATGTACTTATCAGATGAAATAATATGGAAAAATCAACTCTCTCTGATAAATATATAGAAGATCTCAAATGATTTATTAAACAACTGTTAGCTCTAAATGGAAGAAGTAAACTATAGTTCAAAATGGGTTTCAATTGTATCTTAAGAAACTGCTCCCTAAGGATGATAAGAGAAGGAAACCTCTTATAAGTGTGGGCATTAAACCAGAAACTGAGATGAAACAGTCGTTTGTATTGAACAAAGGAGATGAGATCTTGAGGTTGAGAACACCATCTGCTCCATATGAGGTAATAAGTTCACTGGGTAAAGAAAACACGAGTTAATGAATTCATTGACGTAAAGCCTTGCAAAATGTTGATCGCTGCTGGTTTTAGCTACAAAATTTTCATCCCCATTTGGCAACAAAAGATGGGAAATTACCTCCAGAAATGGATTGATGGATCGATGCAAACAGCAGGTGGATATAGAATTTTAGTAAGAGGAAAAGTAGAAGTCACTCTCGTCATGGGAAGCTTCTCTAGAAGACAATATGATGTGTGGTTACCCACATCGAGGAGGAGTGAATAATGGGTACTGACTGCATGCAGAAACATGGGTGAGAGGTTAGACTAGTTTCAAATAGCTTTATCGTTTGCGACCAGGAAGTCCCCAAGCATTATACGACGATTATACCAAAAGAGGCTGGATTTCAAGTATCAACAAAGATAAATGCAAATGGTAATAACGAAAACAGTTAATATGAAGTGCAACAGAGTAAAATCCAAAAGAATAAGTGGTCCAAACCAAGAGTCATCCCTCCTGGTTATCTTTAGAAAGATGTTAACGGTAGAGCAGCCTTAACTTAAGTGATAGCTTCATCAGAAATCAGTTGACCTGTCGGAGAGTCTGAGATTCCTGTCGAGACCACTTTCAGAGTATTACTAAGGTGGAGTTGCTGGTGGATTTCTTTGAATATATATCTGGAGAAAACTTCCCCCTTAATAAGACAGCAAGTGACTGTGAAGGACAAGAACTCATCCCATCCTTTACCATAAGGCACAGAAAAGAAAACAACCAATTTAGACACTATAAGTCAACAAAGAAATAAATAATGCCTTGTTGGTCAAAATAAAAATTGACGTAACGTTCACGTGATGTCTTGAATTTTCTAAACAGTTGTGGAGAGAATATTGTAATGAAAGAAGAACACAAAAGAATTCTTGATTAGTTAGTAGCCCTCCAGTCGCCCAGCGGTATGTCTACGGACTTATAATTTCGATGCCCGTGGTGGGCAGAGCACAAATAGCCCATTGTGTAGCTTTATACTTAACTTCAAAACAACAACCTTACTTGTAAGATATAAGAAACTCCAAGTTCAGGTTTACGTACAGATAACAATACGGCTTTTGTAGCTTTGTGCTTTACTTTAAACAAACTAGTGAGTTATTAATTCAGTGGAGTGCTGTAATGTTTTGAGTTTGTGCCGTAGATATTTGAGGAAATTTAACAAGTACATTTGTTTTGCTATTCAGTACATAGCTCGCAATAGATTATAGATGCTGTGCTCACCACGAGTATCGAAACTCGATTTTTAGCGTTGAAGACGCTCGGACTTTGAACCACCGGGAAGTTACAAGTTCGTGACTATTAAGTTTTATTTATGAATTAGGCCTATAGTTTGCCTATCGTTAGTTTAGTGAAACTATATAGGTTGTAAGACTTTCAGTTGAAAACTAAACAGTTTTCTTTCATTAGAGGACTAGACTTTGCAATATTTTCTCGAGCTCTTTCGTATAACATCTTTTGATTTAAATATGCATTTAGACTCATAATGTATCATAAAACTGAACTAAAGAAACTTTTGGACTTCTCTCGAGTTCAAATATTTATTTTTGCATAGTACTAGTAGTCGAAAGCTCTACAGCAATAAATATGTTACTTTAACAAAAATCCACAATTCTCTTTAATTTATATATTGTTACGACAGCGGTAGTCACGTGACGCTGGTAACACGTTATGATATTCTAGAAGGATCGGGGAACATCAGGAATAATCCAGTATGTGCTAGGCGCCCTCTATTCCTGTATATAAGTGCGCTGGATAACGTGAGACAAATTAATCGGAATTGAATTGCAGACAGGCATAGATAAAGACGTACAATTGAGTCAAGCGTGGTAGTGACTGTAAGTAAGTGCGTGAATCATTGTGAATTATAGCGTGTATTTAAAGTGACTGTGGAAATTAAATGTATTGCAGAGTTGTATTGAGAAAGAAGAAACTAGTTTTATTTAAGGAAGGACTTGTATTGCTGAAGGTTTTCGGAAAATTAACAAACGAACACAGAGACGTAACAATATTTTAACCAATTTGTTTACGTTCATCTCTGCTCTTTACGGAGTAGAACATGTTATTCTTCATGCTGTTTCAGTTTAAGTGAGATCACTACATTGTATCCACTATATATTTTATTATATATATATTATTATTTTATCGGTTTTTATAAAATTAGTTAAACAGGTTTATATCAACCTGTATTATTCTCACAACATGTGTTTATAAACTACTATTGAAATATGAAGTTTGCTTTTCGTAATACATTAATCCTGTACTCATGCGCGTTAAATATCTATAAAAGTCTTTACTCAGGCAAGAACGCCATTATTAAGTTGAAATGCTGGGTGGAAAACAATGAGAAGCGATTTATCGTTTCAGACGTTATAACTGTGGTAATTGAATTTACACGATTTTTAGATTAGAAAGAATATGGGTGTAAATTTAAAATGTTTATTTGAATTACATATTGTATTTTTATGATTCCTTTTCGTAAGCTTAATTTTTTAGGAAGACCACAATGGATCATTCACGCATGCGCCAAAGTATACCTGTCTGTTTTCATGTGTGTCTTAATAGTAATACCCAATCAAAAAAGAGATCTCTCAACTACCGGCAATCTTAAACCAAGTAGCCACTTGAATCAAGATTAACATGTGAGACATAGCGAGGGGCTTCCAAGTTCCAATGCAAAGATGTATTTTTAGAAGGTTTTAAATTATGACTTAAAATACATTCCAAGCAAAATCGCTGGGTAAAGTATTAAGTAGGAGAAAATGGCTGACAAAAATGTTTAGTAACGCAAGAACTTGAAAAAATTTTTTTTTAAAGTTGGCTATACAATATACTAACCAAAGGTTACACATTTGAAGTTGAACTTTAAATTAGAACACTAGAAGTAGAAATTGAACTTGTAGTGTCGCATTAAATGATCAATCTAACACTGCAAATTCAAAGTAATTTAGCAATACCAGTACCAGATGAGTATGCACAGGGCCACATCACATTCACAATGTCTTTTAGTTTTACAACATTAACACTAGCAGTATAGAATATGGCTAATGGATGACAGATGTAAACAGTAAAGACTAAAGGTAAGAATAGCATTAGCAGGTTGTGTATGTGATTCTTTTGATTTTATGCTATGCAGTTGGCATATTCATATTGTATGATTTGACTTTGAAACTAAACAAATTTGAGTTTGACTCAAGCTGTGCTGTAGACTTATGTAAAAAAAAAAGAAGTTACAATAACGTTGAAACAAGAAGATAATCAGTTGCACTAACATTTTAATCTTGCATGTTGAATTCTTATTAATTGTGAATTTAATTTATGTTAAAGTCTGTTTTGTTAAGTGAAGAAGATTAACCGACTAAGTTAAGAGATATGCAGTTTGAGTTAATAAAAGTATAACATTAATGAGTAATGCATTTATTATGATTTAAGGTATGAAGACTTGGAAAATCTTATTGTTTGATAAAAATATGGCCTATAAACTGTATAAGTGAGAATAATTGATAAATGTTGTGCAGAATGAGAAAGATTTATGTGATTATGATAAAGTGTTAAACCTTTACTTTAACTAAAGTAAAGGTTTGAAAACATATTTACTGATATGTCTGGGTAACACCATGTTACCAAATGTTACAGATAGAGCATGTGAATGTGCAGAAACTAGGATCTTTATGTCTAAATTAAAAAAAAAAGTGTGGACTTTAGTTTAATTTTGACTGATATACACAATATTATATATTTACCACAAATGAGATAAGTTTATGAAAAACTATAAATGCCAAAATTAAGCCCAAATTGCTTACAAAGGAAATATTAAGGAAAAAGCATTACAAATTTAGAAGAATAAAATGGATTGCTAAATTGCAAGTTTTAGAGGCCTATAAAGTTACTAGAGAAATAGTTAAAATAAGTTATTAGAAAATAGGTGAGAAATGGTTGAAAATGTTAACACTGATAGTAAGGGATATTTAAGCATGCTTAAGGGTTTTGGCTGATTATTACAAGGTGGCTGAGAATCTAACTTCTAAGTGCCTTTTATCATCAGTTTCTTACCAGGGAAGATAAGTGGATTCTGCAAGTATTTCTTTATCTGAGAGAGTATCTGATATCCTTGAATGAAGTTTGGACTAATTAAAGCCGATAAGATTCAGTATTAGAAAACTGGTGGATGATAAAGCACGTGGATTAGATGATATTTATCTTAGGATAATGAAGGAAACAAACTGCAGTTTTATGGACCATTCAATTCAGTTTTTAATGAATCCATTAATAGCTAAGGTGCTGGACAATTAGCCAATTTTTAAGAGTTATAAGAGAGAGATAATGACCAAATAATTACTATTCAGTTAATCTTACTTCAGTGGTTGAGAAATTACTAGTCTATTATGAAAAATATGCTGCAAAAGTTTAGTCAAGTTTCTTAATATCAAAATTAGTCAACATGAATTTTGGAAGGGCAGGGTGTGTCTTCACAGATTTGCTGATTTTCTTTAAAATATTTAATCTAGATATGGATAATGCAAAGAATTTAGTGCATGTGAACTTTCAAAAGGCTTTTTGTAAGGTGTCATTTATGTGATTTAAGTGACTTGTTAGGAAATTGTATATTGGGTAGAAGATAAGCTAATTAATTGAGAATTGATTAGGTGAGAAATAGCAGAAGGTTATTATTAAAGGGGTGTAGTCACAGGGTATTAATGTCAGAAGTGACTTCAAAGTTCAGTGTTAGGTCCTCTGATCTTTGTATTGTTCTTTAATTACATTGATTATGCCAGTAAATTAGAAGTTTGTAAATGATATTTATTTCATAAGTATTTCAAATCAGAATATATTAATGTTAGAGGGAAGTAAAAGTCAAAGCAACACAAGTATAAATGTTAAGAATGTCTGATACAAGTTCATGTACATATTTAAAGTTACATACTAATTGTTTTATATGTTAATCAAAGTAAGTTGTGTTTTTATGTTAACACAATGTTAATTAGTCTTGTAGCTTTGCTGGAAAAACAAGTTGATGAGGAAAAATTCTGGGCATAGCTGTTATAAAATTTCTAAAGTTTCCTACACAAAGCTTATTAGCTAATGATAAGGTAACTAAGATTTTAGGTTCTATACATTCAAACATTAAATACAAAATGAAAGAGGTCATCAGTTCACTCTGTATTTTGCTGATTAGGCATCATTTGGAATATTGTATTCAGTTTTGGTTAACTATGTAAGAAAGGGTGTTGAGCTGTTGCAGATGGTTCAGTGAAGAGTTGTAAAGATTCCAGGTTTGGAGGTATTATTGTATAGAGATAGGTTGAAATCTCAACATATTTTCAGTGGAGAGAACAGTTTGAGGAGACATAATTGTGGACTTTTATGATTTTTAGAGATTTAGAATTCAAAAATCCAGCTGATGTTTCCATGAAAAGTGATTCAACAGTAAGACTAGAAGACATAAGTTTGAGGTAAAGAAAATACAAACACAACTCCAGTTAGGACATTATTACTTTTCTAAAAAGGTGGTTGTGTGGGTTCATACAAGTTAAAAATAGAAAAGTAGGTAACCAAGAGTCCAAATCACCCCTTATTATCCCTTGGAAATGAAAAAGTTCAGAGGCAGATTACCAAATGGATTTGTGGTTTGAAAAGTTTTAGCTGTAAAAGACTCAAAGATTTGATCTTGTTTTCTCTGAAGCATTGAAGAACTAGAGGTGATATTATTTTTCTTTTTTAAATATATTAGTGCTATGGTAACTTACTTGCAGGTTGCTTATTGGGAAAATATCTTTTTAATGTGGAATGGTGACTTCAATAGGCAGAATGGCCTTCTGCCACATTCTCTTAAGTTTAATTTCAGTCATTTAAATTTGCGCTATATTTTTTGTGTATGTTAGGAAATAAAAATCTTGTTGTAAAAGGAAAAATGTTTTATTAAATATTTTGTCATTTTTGGTTTAAAGTGTTTTTTTTGTTTTGTTTTTTTACATATTTAAATCTTTTATTAATGTTATGTGTATTTCTTATTATTACATAATTATTTTGAATTTTGCAGAAAACTTAAATCTATTTTAATATTTGCATAAATTGATTGTTAAAACCAGTTTATGAAGTTACTTTGTGTTATTTTCTTTTCTTATTTACATTAATGATATTGATAGGTTGTGTATTTTGGCCATGGTGACATTATAACATGACAGTCATTCTCACTATTCTTCAGTAAAGAGTAGCCCAAGAGTTGGCAGTGAGTAGTGTTGACTAGCAGCCTTCCTTCGAGTTTATCACTTCAAAACTAGGGTCATCTAATGCAGATAATACTTGAGTAACTTTGCATGAAAATTCAACAAACAAACCTTATTTATTAAAGGATACTGACTTTTGAAAAGGTTCTGAGGACGAATGTTAGTGTTTCTCACGATGGAAGAGTTATCTTCAAACGACAAATAAAGATTTCTTAACTTTTTTTCTCTTGAGAAAGGAAATTATTGAACGCTAATTTCTTGTACAACAAGCCACTTACATAGAAAATCAAAAGGATGAAGACCCCTCTTTTTTTGTGCTTTATTCTGAAGACAAGAGAACACAAGTTTAAGATTTGAAATATGTAGGTTAGGCTTCAGTTTAGTCATCTTTATTTTTTAAAGAGAGTGATTGGCTTATACAATGAGTATCCATTGGCAGTAGTGAAGGCCAGTGCTTAACAGGAATTTAAGAGTGGAATCAATGATATCCTAGAAAAAAAAGGGCGGGGTTAAATTTTTACTTTTCTTCAGGGTGGGTGTTTGTATGTATATAAGGACAGTCTTGAAGGAGCACATGTTCTCTCCTGTTTCATGTTGTCGTTGGTTATTGATGCTACACAATCACTAATAGTATTTCATTTTTGTATCTAAGATTAATAACTTGAAAAGGTAATCTTGATTGGAAATAAGTTTTTGTTCTAATGAAAGATAAAACAATTGTTCTAGAAATAACCTAGTGGAATGTTGACATCAAAACTAGTTTACATTCATAAGAAAGTAAACATTTCTTTCCAGGTTTAATGACTTAATATTTGGACTCATGATTTAAACAGTGACTAAATTTACATTTAGACAATTTCACTGACTTTAATGGATTGCAACTGGCTTTTGAAAAAAAGTCAACCCTACATATCTAAAGTTCTACTGTAATAAAATTTCACTGACTGTGACAATAAATATCCTCTGATAGGCAAATAGTTCTTTTTGTGGAAGATCAAATTTTAAAGAAATAGATATATGTGTGTATTAAAACAGCTTAAAAGGACTTCAAGAGATTAAAAGCTTTGACCATGTTGAAATATCCATTGCATTAAACCAATGAATAGGTTCAGTTGAAACTAGTTTCTATTAAAACAAAATACATACGTGTATAAATATTATGTATGATAGAAAACTTGGAGTTTTCTTCTTATTTCCTGAAGGTTTAGGAAGATAACACAGGCCTGCAATGGTTTTATTGTTTTGGAATTTTTGCATGTTCTACAGTAATTCCTGTACAATGAATCTGAAAATGATATCCATTTTTCTCCATCACATACATATTTTTCACAAAACATCATATGTACTTCTACATAAATTCGATGACGAGGAACCCACTTTGAGACTAATAATGGCTGGAGACGGCTTAAATGGGTAATGAAGAAAAACTTTAATATAAGTTTAACATGACAGCAAATGTACAACGTTTCGACAAGGGTTTGTCATCATCTTGTTCCTGATGATGACAAAACCTTGTCGAAACGTTGTACATTTGCTGTCATGTTAAACTTATATTAAAGTTTTTCTTCATTACCCATTTAAGCCGTCTCCAGCCATTATTAGTACTTCTACATAAGTGAATCATTTTCATTGAAATTGGGTCACATTTTGTTATGCTTAAAATGTTGACAACCATTGGCTAT